CAAACCATGTTCTCACTGTGTTTGACAATAAAACTTGAATTGAATTGAATTGAATTGAATTGAATATAATAGGTATTCACTAATATATGAATTCCCCAATCTTTTCTATTGGACGACTGAAATGAAACCCACTAATGTGAAATAATTTTGGGCTATGTTTTTATTAACTTTTATCATAAATTTCGTTTTAGTGATAGAAACCAACTTGCTGGAATAATACATGAACTTAAAAGTTCGGACATTGTAGAAGATGGGGAATCAACAAGTAGCGATGATAAAGATGAAAACGGTTCGGAGAAAAAATCTGATGAAACAGAAGATGCAAAAATGGACGTTGGGGATGCAAAAATAGAAGGAAAAGGCATTGAAAAAAATGTTGAAATGAAAATTGAAAAAGAAAAGGATGAAAGAATCGAAGATGCTACAGAAAGAGCGAAAGTGAAGGAAGAAAAAGACACAGGGAAACGGGACATTGAAAATAATGGAAATGAAGAGAAAATGAAAGATAATGAAAATAAGAGTGCAGAGATGAGTGAACAAACGACAGAAACTAAAGACGTAGGAAAAGATACTACAGGGGGGAAAATTGAAGCAGAAGTTATAGTACAGAAAGAAAATATTTCAGAGGGAAAAAAAGTGGCAGCTGAAAATGTTGCAGAAAGAGAAAGTGAAGATAAAAGTAAAGAAAAGAATGAATCTGAAAACTGTAAGGATGAAAAAACAATGGCCAGAGCATCAGTGATAGTTATGACATCAAAGGAATCAGTCAAAAATGAAAAATCCGATTCAATTGAGGAAAAAGACAATAAAGTTGAAACAAAGGAAACAACTCAAATGGATGAAGAGTCAACAGAAGTTCCAAAAACTAAAGAGGATGAAGAATTAAATGAAGAAGAGGAAGAGATGAGCGGTGCTGAAAAAGGTTTGTTACTAATTTTATCATCTGCATTTTTATGTTTTCAATTTTTATATAACCTTCTTCAAGCAAGGATGAAGTTACTGTATGGTGGGACAGAGTCACTCAGCCTTGAGGTTTTCCTCCCAGTCATCGCCTTCCACCCACCTTTATTAACTCCCTTCGCACATCCTTAAAATCCATTCTTATTATTTGGAGTTTACAAAATGTTATCATCCTGTCACCCTTAAAATGTCTGCAACCCACCCTTGTCACCACTGTGTGATAGATTTGGAATAGTTGCTGTATGGAATAAAGTATTGTATGTATAAAAATCAATTTATTATTGTAACAAATGTAATAATACTAATGTAATAATTTGTTAAACTGACTAGAATTGTTTTTCATCGTGATGCTTACTATCAACAGAGGAAAGTATAGTCCTATACTTTATATACAACAAATGCTGTAGAGAAAATCGACTGCAAATTTAATATGTGATACAAATTTTTTTCTTTTTTTATGTTCAAACATTATAAAATCTTGATAACCTTCCAGATACAAATGCCAAGGTGGTGAGCAAGAAACCTAAAAAGAAGAAGAAAAGAAGAGTTCCAATCCGCTACACACCTAAGAGAAGATCCTCACGGAAAGCAG